TTTTACTCTGTATATTATATAAAAAATTTTTACGTTAACGTCTACTGTATTTAAATTAATTGATCATATTCAATGCATTGTAATCTCCTTCTGGAGTACTTAAGATGCATTGACTTTTATTGATTAGAACTGAATTGCATAGCTATTAATAATATTGTCGTTATTGGTATCAGTTGTATTATTACTATACGTGTCCACTTTCATAATAAACATGAAAAATAGTCAGTTAAATTTATGAAAAAATAATTTTTTGATAAAAATGTTCATCAATATGATTATCAACCTCACGTTGTACGCTTTCTAAGAATTTTCGAGCATAATAAAAAAAATTGGTTATTTATTTTACAGAATGAATAAAGCTGTTACGTTCTATTGTACATTTCGTACTTGATAATGTGATATTTGCAAGTTGCTTTGATTTTTTTCGGTGAATACAATTATTCATAAAAAAATGAAGTGTTATTTTACGATAAAAATTTTACTCGATGTGTCGAAGAAGATCACAAAAATAGCAATTAAAGTACGCGAAAGGAGTGCTTAAGCATAATATTTTTTTAACCACTAAACATAGATCCACAGCCACAATATCTCTTGAACATCAAAAATTAAAAAATTAAACCTACCAGGAGTGAAGGGATTGCATTATTAGAACAAAAAAGGGCATTATAAAATAATTCTATGAGTAATCACATTATTTTTTTATTTTTTAAATTTATTCATGATATGGTAGATAACAATGTAGTTGTAATGGCTTGCACCTCAAGTGCAGAACATTTGTTGTGAAGCTACTCGTTTCGTTCGAGTTGACAATTAAAAGAAGAATCGAGATTTTAAATAATCGGAACGTAATTTAGCATTTTTTACTCATTATTTTTTTTAATGCATTGTCAACAATACATGGTCACTACGAGAATTCGGCATCCGAAACCTCGTGTTTAAGTATTCCTTTTTGAAAAATAATCAAGGAAGTGTTTAATTTAATAATAATTTTTTTTTTTTTTTTTCATCATCATTAGTTTTTGAAAACTTGGATACATGGATATATCGTCGAGCAAAAATCGAACGTCTTATTATTATGTTTTTTTCTGAAAACTTACGAGGCTTATCATTCGTGAAATGAATAATGTTCACGTCAGCTATAGTTGATATCTTTTTTTTTCTTTTTGTTTCTTGGTACATTTTCGCGCTTTGTAACATATATATTCTTGAAAGAAGTATCCATGAACTTGAACTAATTTTTTTGAAAAACCCCTTGTAGTTTCTAAGAAGATCAAAAGAATCTTTTTTTTTTTCAAACTCTGCATCCTCAATAAATGTTTTTGTTATTTTTCCAAGTGTAAAAAAAATTATTTTTGGATTAAACAATCTAATCTAGCTCATCAATGTCATAAATTGTGAAAAAAATTTATCTTTCTCAACATTATGATCAAGGAATCCTTTTTTTGAGATTAAAAAACTGTTTTTTAAGGTTTTTAGAAGAAAAAAGGCTTGTGACTTGGATATACCACTAATACTTGGCTTCCGTTTAATTGTATACGTAAGACTACATTTTCTACTTTGGTCGCTTAGTATTGTACTCCACATCTATAAGGAACTGAAATTACAATTGTTAGGGGCAACGTTAAAGCGGATGCAGAGCTTGATCTGTAAATAGAAACCGTGACTACTAATTAACCAACTTAACAGCTACAAGATATTCCTTTAAACACTCGAAAAAAAGCTCATACGTACCCTTAATTCACATACCATGCAACAGTTAAATGAATGACAGCTTGTCATATGATTTTCGTAAGATACACTCTTTGATTACTTTTTCTAGATCAGAAACTTTTGGCGAGATGACATTTTTCATTCAAGCCTATTGTTTCATTTTTTTTCTACGCATCTGTCGTCAACAAACAAAGTTTTATCGCATCAATCATTCTCGCACAGTTTTTTTTCTTACTGTTCACACTTATTACGTTTATTTATTTACTCTCCTCAATTCATTTTTATTATTATTA